TTTCAAATCATAATTAAAATTCTCAAATCTAAACCAAACCGTTTTTGACCGGTTTGGTTTGGTTCAAAACCATTTCGTTGACGGGTCAACATAGCACCAAACCGCCGGTTTCGAAATTGCGGTTTCGATTCGATTTTTCGGTTTGGCGGTTTTTGCTTACAGCCCTAACGATAACAATACCTAATAAAATAAAACCGTCAGTGAGTTAAAGTTTAAAAAAGTACATTACGAAGACGCACGTGTCCAGTTGCTGACTAGGACTCTACGTTAGAGTTTATCCATATCCATTTCCAATGTTATCCAAAATTCAAATGTTTAGTAAATTAATTAACAGACCTATTTATTTCCCAAAAAATAAGTCACTAAGACATTGGGGCAGCACATATCAACTTTAATTATTTTTGAATTTAAAATATTAATATGTTAGAAAAATAATACATGTTTAAAAAGTATTTATAAATAAATAAAAAAATGGGCAATAATTATAAATCTTAGATAATTTTGATGAATTATAAATAAAAAATAGTTGCTTCGCTCGATGCTTGGTGAATAGGGACACGTACGTCCAGTTCTTCCAGCTTTACTCATGTGTAGCATTATTCTCATTTCTTTAAAATAATTATTAATTATTGACTTTGGGAAAAAAAGTTAATTATTTAAATAAGCACATTTTCGCATTATAAAACTAATAAAATAAATATAATACAAATACAGCCACTCCTCTATACTGAGTTGTCAATAATACCCTTATACATGTTCAAAGAACAGACTTTTGTTCTGTGAGCGTGTTCGGTATGGATTAAAATTAAAAAATTAATCGTTATTGTTGATTTTTATTGGACGAGTGAGATCAAATAACGATCATATTTTCAATTTTAATTCTAGCCAAACATGCTCAGGACGAGGAGGAGGACCATACTTGTCATTTCACATAACAAATGATCAAATATATTTTTATTAATAAGAAAGCAAAAATCCGGATTTTTATAAAATAAATAGAAAAGGTCAGAAAGAACCCCTTGTTCATCCCTGCTTGTTTCTTCATCACTATTTCAAGATTCCTCAGATTTGTCCTCAAAAATTAAACACGATAAAAAATTCCTTTATCCAAAATTTATTAGCCTCTAAAATTTATCTGTATGTTTGCTTCCCAGTTAACAAAAATTCTTAAAATTGCATCCCATTATCCATTTCTTTCAGCTCACATGGATATAAACAATTGTATGTGTACAAATCTCCCTCCCGTATAGCTAATAGCTTCCGTGTCACACAAAAATCTCTCTACGTATAGATACGTATTTTTTGAATACACACAGTGTTGATCATTTTGCAGATTTCATCAAAGGATTTAACCAGCCCTTATGCTGAAACGGTGTAGTTCAAATTTTGAGTCTGTAGTTGTTGCTTTTAATAGTATTATTTGGGGTTTTTTTATGTTAAGTTGGGAAATTTTTATTTGGAAATCTGTTATTCTTTATGAGTGGTTAGGGTTTTGAATGATGGAAGTGTCAGGGAATGACCCGGTTGAATCGTTTTTGAACTCGCTTCAGGTTGTGAAGAATGCGTTTTCGCCTATAGAATCTAATTTCGGAAAGGCGGCAAAAAATTTGGAGCATTGTTTCTCTGGTGTTTCCAAAAATGGAAAATTGATTGCAAATACTTGTAACGCTGATATTGAGCTGATGACAGCTCAGTTGAATGTGAAGAAAAAATTTGGTAACGGTAGTGGTCAGTGCGTGGTGGTGAACTGTGGTGAGAAGAGTAAAGGGGGTCTTTTTACAGGAGATCCTATCAAATTTTTTGTTGGTATATTTTCAGAAAAATGTGGAAGTAACATTGATAATGATAATAAGAATAATAGTATTAGGCATGATGAAGTTGCTCATGTGAATGTGAAGAAGAAACGATTGAAGGAGAGGTATGGGAATGCTAGTGGTGGGAAAGTGGATAAGGTTTCATGCACAAATTGCTTGCAGTTTGCAGTGGCGTGGTCATCTTTGATTAATAGTTTTGTTCAAGGCTTTCCAAGCCCATTTAAAGCTGGGAAAAAGAGGGTTCAAAAGACATGTAATGGGGTTGGTGTTTGTTCTGATGATTCGTGTGTGAAACCCATGGTTGCAGGTGAACTTAAGCAGAATGAATCCAAGGGTAAAGAAGGGAAAGATTTGCCTTTTGAGTGCTTTTTTGGATTTGTGTTTGAGCAGTTGAGTCAGAGTTTGCCAAAGTTTGACGTGTCTGCTCAAGAAAGTGAATGCAGGAGTGGTGACGCTGCAGCTTCTACTCCAGCTGACCACAATCAGTTTGATCATCTGAGGGCTCTTGCAAGTATTTTGGAAGGTAAGAGAGCAGACGTGAATGGATTTCTTGGGAACTTGATGTTTGCACGAGTGGGAGGTATGCCATCGAATATTTTAGGAGTGCCACCTTCTGTGAAGGAAGTGAGTGATGATGGAGTTGGCACTGGTATTACTCAGGAAGAGAATGGAGACAATTCGCCACAAAGATTGGCTAATGGGTTGCTTAGCATACCATTGTCCAATGTTGAACGTTTAAGAACGACTCTCTCCACTGTGTCATTGACAGAATTAATTGAGCTTTTACCCCAGTTAGGGCGACCTTCCAAGGAAGACCATCCTGACAAGAAGAAACTATTCTCAGTTCAGGATTTTTTCAGATATACAGAAGCTGAAGGTATGCTTTTTAAATCAATATTACCTTTATTCGATTAAAAATACTTGAATGTTTACATAGACATGTCAACAATTACGCAGGTAGAAATTTGTGAACTCCTTTTTATGTTCTATCAGGAGCTATGTGAAATAGATTGTGACGTATGGTTTTTTATTGTTTGAGTAGGTTATTGTCATGACTCACTCATTCTAGAATATTCATAGAGCACGTAGGGGACGATGAAAGGAAGTTGAAATTTGTTGCGGATCAGAATTTCCCTCCCCTTTTCTCTCTAAATCTGTCTTGTCTTCTTTACCTCTATCGTTTCAGAATCTGATTCCTCTCCTCTTCTTCCTACCTGGACCTTCTCTGAATTTCTCTGTTTCTCCCCTGCTTCTCTACTGATCTATATCTTATCTTTTATGTTTGTTCTTTTGCTTGTAATTCCCTGCATTGTAATAAAAATAGCAGTTAATGACACACAGTTTACATTAAAGTGCTGGGTATTGAATTTAGTTCCATTATTCTGGTTTATTGATGTTTGATTGAGTTTTGGTGTGAAGTTGAGCTCCAACCATAACAAATGGTATCAAAGCAAAACAGAATTTCCCCCTTTTTCTCTAAATCTCTATCTCAGTTCTATTTCTCTCTTTCTGAATCTGCGTCTCTTCTTCCTCCTCTGATTCTATCCTTTCTCTGTTTTCTGTTATTCTTTGTTATTCTGTGTAATTTTCAGTTCAATTAATAGATTTCCAGCTTGGATTATTGATTCCCAGCTGAATTGATCCATTATTGTGTTGATTTGAATTGTATTTTATCTGGTTTTGGTTGAAGTTGAGCTCCAACCATAACAATTGGTATCAGATCAATCCTTGGGTGTCTCTTGATTGGATATCATAAGGGAAGATTTTAATAGGATTCATGGGCAGATAATTTCATATTGACTAAAATGATTGAGGATCGGTTAGCCTCCTAAGAGGAACAATATGAGTTCAATATTAGTGGTAGAGCAGGTGAAAAATCAGCCTCTAAATATTAGTCCAACCATTATAGTTCTTCAGCAGAAATGGCCGAGGATTCTGACGTGCAAATGGGCGTTTTGGGTTCTAACTAGAAGAGGACCCGGTCAAGCAGGTTAGTTCATCTGATTTGAACAGAGATGATGATTCAGTTCCTGTAATTACCAAGCAAGTTGTTGAGACTAGACTGTTGGAAGAGACTAGTTTTGAGAAGTTGGAATCTGACTTAGGTGTTGAGAAGGATGAAGAAAACTCCAGTGCAGAGAATGTCTAGTTTTGGGTAGTGATTATAAACAATTGAATGTCACTGTTACTGACATGGATAAAATTTTAGGACAAACTGGGGAAGAAGTGGGGAAAGTGAGTGTTGGTGAAAGCTCGCAATGTCTATTATCTATCTTTCCAATGAACACTCTCATCAAGTTCGGATAGTGCAGTCTCTCGGATAATCAATGCCAGCTTTCATACAAAGTTGAGGGGGAAAGCAATGGGAATGTGGTTTTTTCTAGGGAAGCTCCACTTGAACGACTACTGGAATGCAATGGAGATGAAATTCTGAAGGCAGAAGTTGGTGCCAAGGTCCTAAAGTTCACACAGTAGGCTTTTAAATGTACAAGTGTCCACTCTCATTGCCAGGGAAATAGAGACAGAGTGGGCTGCAACTTTGCCATCAAGATCCAGCTACAACTATCTGCTTTCAAGACCTTTGTAGATCTTGCTGGCAACTATCTTACAAGGAAGTATTTAACTGAAGCCTTTGATGCAGAATGCTTCCCACTTGCACTCTTCTCTAGTTTAATTGATCATGGTTGGGCATCTGGTATATCAGGAACTGCCATCTAAGGGTTGTTGGGCATGCTTGTTGAAGGTGGGGCAAATAATGTTAACCAAGCATATGCCACCTTGCACTATCTGTTAATCCAAGGGTGGTGAAGAGAATGAGGCAGCTGCTAACTTCATACAAAGAAGACATCCAAACCTTGAACCTTGAGGACAAGGTTAATTTAAGGGGAAGGGATGTCATGACTCACTCATTTTAGAATATTCTATGATTACTTTATAAATAGAGCACGTAGGGGAGGATGAAAGGAAGTTGAAAATTGTTGTAGATCAGAATTTCCCTCTCCCTTTTCCCCTCTAAATCTCTGAATTCTTCTTTTCAACTTCTCTAAATCTGCCTCTCTTCTTTACCTCTATCATTTCTGAGTCTGATTCCTCTCCTCTTCTTCCTACCTGAACCTTCTCTGAATTTCTCTGTTTCTCCCCTGCTCCTCTACTGATCTATATCTTCTCTTTTATGTTTGTTCTTTTGCTTGTAATTCCCTGCATTGTAATAAAAATAGCAGTTAATGAAATACAGTTTACATTAAAGTGCTGGGTATTGAATTTAGTTCCATTATTCTGGTTTATTTGATGTTGGATTGAGTTTTGGTGTGAAGTTGAGCTCCGACCATAACAAATGGTATCAGAGCAAAACAGAATTTCCCTCCCTTTTTCTCTAAATTTCTGAATCTCTATCTCAGTTCTATCTCTCTCTTTCTGAATCTGTGTCTCTTCTTCCTCCTCTGATTCTTTATTTTCTCTGTTTTCTGTTATTCTTTGTTATTTTTGAGAAATTTTCAGTTCAGTTAATAGATTTCTAGGTTGGGTTATTGATTCCCAGCTGAATTGATCCATTACTGTGTTGATTTGAATTGCATTTTATCTGTTTTGGTTGAAGTTGAGCTCCAACCATAACAGCTATCAGATTTAAGTGGTGTGATTATATGTTTTAGTAATATTAATTTTGCTTTTACTTTAAACATTGAGGGCAATGTGCACCTATACATAATATATATCTGTTAGGATAAGGGTGACTTTAGGACTTGGTTATCTTATTCATAGTCTTCTACCTTTCATTTTTTTTTTCCTTTCTTTATATCATTCTTCTCCTTTGTTCTATTCTTCTTTGTCCATTTTTGTTGCATTGTGATAAGGTAGCGAGCATGGTAAGAAAATGGCTTGAAGAAAAGAGAATGACACTTCTATTATTGACAAGTCATTGGAAGTCCTAAAAGTTGTTAATGAACCTAAGACAATGGCGAAAAATGATTCAAGTAGCTAACCAGAATTATTTGGTAATCAAGCTTGTTAGTTATTGATTTTTTATGGCTGGTAATAGGATCCACAGGTAATGTTATCCTCCTAAGTCTCTTTAACAAAAGATTCTAGAAATTGATATCTAGACTTGTTTTTGTTTTTAAAGCATCACATGCCATGGCCATATGCCTGAAGCTGGTCTCCTGCCTCTTGCATATTCTTTGAGCACCTTAAGTACCAAAAAATATGAAAAAATAAAAAAAAAATATAGTAACTAACTATGATACATTCTTTTCTTGTCTGTAGAACATCAACTCACCTTCCAATATGCCCGTGGTGGAATCTCATTGAACATTTATTCACTCATTTATGGAGCTTTAATGATTCATGAAGGATTTGAAATTGAAGGCGTCTGGTAATGTATAAGTGGCTTACAAAATTGCTCCATATGCAGAAAAAAAAGTACCATAACATCTCAACCAATTTCTAAAAACGGGATTGTATAACAGTTATCAGACTAGTAAGGTGGTCTTTGGTTTTTTGTTAAGAGCATGGTGTAAAATCATGTTACAGGGAAAAAAGTGAATGGTCAAAAATAATAAAGCAAACGAACTTCACTCGCACTGGTTTAACTACAACATATGACAACGGAGGACAAGATAGGCATATACTTTTGGTGAGCCCAGCATGTTTCTCTATGCTGCAAATTGTGTGGGTGCTTTCACCAGGTTCTTATATTATGTAACTGAATTTGAGAAGTAGTTGTAATTAGCAAGTTAATGATGCATGATAGTTCGTGGTTGGCAAGCTGAAAAATAAGGACCTTGCTTGGTATACATAATTTTTGTACATGAGGGTGTCATTTCCCTCACATGGTTTCACGGGGTGCCTTTCTTCTTGACGCAGAATAATACACCGTGCGGCAATAGTCTGCTCCGTTAGACTACCTTCCACCTTCTTTCGGTCGTTTCGGGATGAAAGACAATTTGATTACAATTTGTAGAAAGCTTGCAACATGAAATTGAAATGCATTGAAACTAAATTGATCATTGATTGTTTGAAAGTTAGAAACTACAATAGATGAAAGCAGGAAATTATAATGGCTAGTGTAGGGGGTGAACCCTAGAAAGTTTGAAAGATTGATTGAAAGACTAATATCCCCTATAATAGACTTTGGAACAAAAACCCAACTGACGGGAGTAGACGTTTAAAGGCCGTAGAATCATACTAAAATTTTCTAATTTCTAACTATTTTACAATTTAAATAAAATATTTACAATGTGCGGTCGAAGTTGTGCAAACTGCTGCTGCGATAGGGTCACAGGGCTTAAATAAAGCTGCGGTCCGTGACACAATGTGGGTCCCACCCCATGTGAGGGAAATGATACCCTTATGTACACTTTTTTATGTACACCAAGCATAATTCGAAAAATAATTAAGTTGGTCCAAGAAATAATACACACGTGACAGAGATCTTTTCAACATGTTGAAGCTTGAATGATATAATGAGATCAAAGGAGCTGAATGGCGGACAGACCCAAAATGCTATAAATTGCCACCAGATATGGTAGGTAACTCGTATGTTTTTGTGCTATGGGTTTGTTTGTTCAATTTGTGATGAAGGCATTGAATTTTTCATATCCTAATTAATCTCGTAGCTGTCTTCAAAGTAGCTCTCCTTGCTTTGCTCCTAATCCCTCGTCGACCTTGTTTCACTAGACATACTTAAAAATATGCCTTGACATAGGCATGGCAGTGGGTCCAGTAGAGTCGGCTCATTGATAGAACACACGAGTCTAGCCGAGGTGTCAAGGAAGCAGGCTCGATTCGGCCCTTTGGCTTGTGGATTGGTCTGGCCTAGCTATCCATGAGCCCATGACCCGGCTCGGTTTCTTATTTTTATTTTTTTGTAGAAAAAAATAAAACAAATTCAAAATTAAACACATATACTCTCCCTCGCAAAAACGAGCCGGCTCATATTGGTGCGCATCTCGGTCCATTGCTCCTATCTAAACGAGCCTGAATTGTCAATTGACTGTGTCGAGCCCACGTGCGTGTGATCGGCTCGACTCGTTTGCCACCCCTATGTGATTCATGACCTTCCTACTTGTCCACATTGCCAAAACCGCTTTAACATCAAAATAGTATTTGACCTACCTGATCAACAATAATATGCTTGAACTTTTAGTGAGAACAATTTTTTTTTTTTTTTTTTGTAAATGCATGCACAATATAATAATTTAAGACCTATAAATTCAATTAAACACTCAAAAGGGTCTCTCTCTCTCTCTCTAAAATTGCTACTATGACACTCTTTAGTGGATTTTGCTTGACAAAATGTGACAAATTATTATTCTCTCTATCGGTGATCGAGGTTACTATTTATTAGAAAGATTCAGTGTTCAATATGTAACTTTTTTAATTATATTTTTATTACCAGCAGTTTTAGTGGTTTTTGATTGTTTGACACTATGCTTCAAGACAGAGCTGTCACATCTGAATGTTATGTTTTAAGACAGATATGTTGCATTTCCTGGTTTCTTCATTTTTTGCTAATTTATTTTCTTCAAGACTGGTTCTGAACACAGTGAGTGTCTCATAATCTTAAACAACCTCTACATTGTATTCCATATGCTTAGAGGTGTCAATTCGGATGGTCCAGTCCAGGTCAGCCCGCCAACATATGAGCTCGGTAACGGCCCACGTGAAAAAAAGCCCGCCCACTACGGGTTTCGGGGTCGGCCCACAAATTTTGGACGATAACCCAGGCCCGCCCGCTGACCCATACGGGTCTAGCCCATGTAGATCACTGGTGGCGATTTGTTCCGATTTGGCCCCTATTATTGTATAAATAAAATTATAAAAATATAAAATTTTTCATATTCATAGGAAAAAATATTTTTTTTGTTAAATGTAAACTAAGAATTGAATAAAATGATGAATTCATATTTATATCAAGAAATGCTTACATAGAATTCATATTTAATATTACATGAATTATTTATAACTTTACAAAGTTAAATTTAATTTAAACAAATAACAACTAAATGCATTTCTAATTACTATTATCAAATATTTATAGTATAAGTACATCCCAACTAGGTTGACACCTACTTTTATTATAATTTATAGTTTAAGTACATCCCAACTAGATTATATTTATAACTTTGTAAAGTTAAATTTAATTTAAACAAATAACAACATTTCTAATTACTATTATAAAATATTTATAGCATAAGTACATTCCAACTAGGTTGGCACCTACTTTTATTATAATTTATAATTTAAGTACATCCCAACTAAGTTGACACCTACTTAAGTCTTAACTATAATTTAGTATCAACTCTCCCCCCTTTTTTCAAATTAAAAAAAAAAAAAAAATTCACGGGGCAGCGGGTTAACCGCGGCCCGTGAAGGTGCAACCTGCGAAGCCCGCGGGTCACACCTCCTGACCCGTGAACCGCCCGCTCGGATCACGGGTCGGCCCGCGGTCCCGGGTCGATCCGGGCCGATTTTCACTGGTCTGGTTGGTCCGTCCGTCTTGACACCTCTACATATGCTGTTGCTACTAAACCATGCACACTAATAGAAATATGAGATTGTTTGCTTTTGCTACCGCTGAAAAGCTGCTCCCAATTTTGTGAGACCATGCTGATGCAGGAATGTAATACTTTGACTACGAATAAGTAGAAGGAACAAGAAGAGAAAGGGGCATCAAAGAAGAGAAGAAATTTGGCAAGAGAAATCAATTTATTCATATATGATGGTTGCCCTTCTGTCTTCTTCTTTTCTGATAGACTTGTAGTAGAACCCCAACTTATTTCCAGAGTTAATAGCAGTAGAGCACCATCTGTTGAAATCAGGAAATGTAGGCATTTCCATGTCAGCTGCCAGGCGATATTCTAGCCCCAAATGCTGCCAAAAAGAGCTCAAGTTCTGCTCAGCCTTCCACAGAGAAGGGGTTGGTGGATAGCCGATCACCTTACTGTGTCTAAATCAAATTCTTTGCCTATTTGAAAATTGATATACAGAGTTATGCCTGTTGTGTACTGTATGCAGACCTGGAAAATGATAACTGATAGTGTTTTATATGTAAAGGTGTACGATCTTTAGGTACTACTTACTATGCTTGGACATATGTCAATTGGAGAAAATGTTAGAAGTCATTGTCTCTTCAAGTCCTAACATTGTCATGTGACTGATAGGTGAACACAATTTTGAATGTCGCACTAAATGCATATTGTAGCAACAATGTGTACCTTAACACCATTGTACTGAGACCAGAGCCAAGCGTAATGCCTCTGGTTTGTTTCCATCTCTGCTTGTGACCTAGCAGGATTGTGACCCTATGTCGACCTTTCTTTATGCAATATCAGCTGTTTGTGGACCTTTATTCTGCCATGCGGCCTAAACTATAGACAGGAAAACACAGTCAATTCTTATATTCTCGCAAAAAACTTTTGTCAATTCTGTCTCAAGTGTCTGATTGTGGTAAGACGTCCTTCCACATTGGGTTAAGTAGATCAATCTGGTTGAGATGTGTTTGTTGATGGAACTGGTGTTAGAATGTATTTTTCCTGGGGCTCTCTACAGTTTTGCTGAATTTGAGGTTTTACTTGGTGTACTAAGTTCATTAGATTTCAGTTTTTGGCTTTTAGCACAGCTGAATGTGCCATGACATGCAGCGCCTTAGACAAGGTGATCTTGAGCTCATAAATGTCATTCATAGCTGCAGTGCTCTTCTACCTTCCGAAGTTGGAAACTTCTTGTTTGAGATTTCCTACTTAGTATTACGTTTTCATTATTATTCTTTTATCTCAATCTGAATCTCACATTCTTGCAGGAAAGAGGTTCTTTCAGGAGTTGGATAGGGATGGTGATGGGGAAGTCACACTGGAAGATCTTGAAGTTGCTATGAGGAAGAGAAAACTGCCCAAGAGATATGCTCATGAATTCATGCGTCGTACTAGGAGTAACTTATTTTCAAAATCATTCAGTTGGAAACAGTTCTTGTCCTTTATGGAACAGAAAGAACCGACCATTCTTCGAGCTTATACCAGCCTATGTTTGAGCAAGTCTGGAACACTTCAGAAAAGTGAAATTTTGGCATCACTAAAGAACGCAGGACTTCCAGCTAATGAGGATAATGCTATTGCCATGATGCGCTTTCTGAATGCAGACACTGAAGAATCTATATCATATGGGCATTTCCGGAATTTTATGCTTTTGCTACCTTCAGACCGACTTCAAGAAGATCCACGGTAATTGATTTGTAGAATGTCAGTAGAATTCCAGATTCCTGGCTTTGAATTGTTTGTAAAATGTTTTTGATGGAAGATTTAAAAGGAGGTAGCAGGAAGGTAAGGATGGGATTTTAAATCGGAAAAGATAACTTGAACGTGATGATGTAAAATTTCATTCTGTCATTCATATTAAATGTTTTCCATTACCTCTGCCAAATTGAAAGGTATTTGGTATTCAGGATCTTGCCTCTGATTGACAGATAACTTCTAACTGATGGTTGTATAATACATCTGAGTTGTAAGCGGAAGATATCGTTATTGAAGAATTGATTGGCTGTAGGAAATTTGTTTTTTTTGGTTAAACATTATTTCTTGAATAACTTTTTTTGGTATTAAGGAATTATCTGTGGTATTATTCAAAAGTCAAATTATACAATAAGAATTATTTATGCCCAAAACACCATGATGATACAATAATGATTTTTGTTGCCCAACACCATAATTATTAATAAGGAACTATTCATGGTATTATTAAAAAAAAAAAAGAGAAGAAGCCCAGGACCATAAATATTCTAGCATATCCTTGCATTGCCACTTTTGCATGTGGTATTGTATCAACGATTCCTTATTGTAGCTGCTTTTACTAGTTACTGAAATTGACTCTTTTTTGTATACTTTCAGGAGTATCTGGTTTGAGGCTGCTACTGTAGTGGTTGTGGCTCCGCCAGTACAAATTCCTGCTGGAAGTGTTTTAAAATCAGCATTGGCTGGAGGTCTTTCTTGTGCATTGTCTACAGCTCTAATGCATCCTGTTGACACCATTAAGGTAAAATCTTGAGAAACTAATCGATTACGCGCTGTATGCATAAAATTTTGGTGGCATTTTCTTCGTTGATATATCATAGTTCTCCATTGTGAATCTCTATTGCTATTTAGTGATGAATTTCACTTGTGCATATCAGTATCAATGTTAATGTCACAAATACTTAAATTGTTCTGTATCTGTAATTGTCTACTTGAAATAAAATGTTTGTCATTTCTAGATTCTAGATCTTACCTGAGAACTAATGATACTATACTCGACGTATCAATGCAGTATGGTTCAACCGCAGAACTTTGAATTTATCGAATATTTTTGTATAGTATATCTTAATATTTCTTGAATATTGGATTTGGATTCAAATTGGTTCTAGTTGTCTAATAAATATTACTGCATGTTTGGTTGATTATTAATTATAATTTAAGTGATTATAAGTTGAGAGTCGTAGGAAGAAATATGTTTGACCTGATTATAAAGAACTGGCTTGAGCCCCATTTTTTGGGAAAATGGATTTTATAATAGTGGGTTTATAGAGAATGTGTGGTTCAAAAGTATGAAAAATTTTGGGTTACGTGTAAAATTATTTTATTGGGAAATATATCCCTACTATATTAAAAGAGTGAATTCGCCGAGTACTGTTCATTCTGAAGCATTTTTCGTTAGCCCAAATTGTCCCATATCCATCCTCTACTATTTACACCGTCCCCTATCTGTCTTCCACTATTCACACGTGGGGTTAAGGGCGATTTGGAAAGATCATTTTTTAATTAATTTATATGCCTACCATTGTTGACTTTGAAATTTGCGGAGCAAACAAATTTTTTTTTCCCGACATTCAAAGTGATGCTCCGCAAAGTGCGGAGCAATACATTTTCCATTCCCATTTTATCCCCACCAATTAATTTCTTTCCCATTTTTTCCTTCATTATTAACTCTTCATTTGTGAAACATTTTCCTCAAAACAAAAGGGCAATATAGACTTTTTTCTTACCTACAATTGTTGACTAAAAAACAGAGAAGAAAAAAAAAATCAAAATCGATTGCTCCGCACACTATGGAGCAATGCTCCGAACTGTGCGGAGCAATACGGAGACTTGCTCTCCGCACAGGTTTGGAGAGTTATGGACAAACTCTCCAAACTATTTGGAGAGATGTCCAAACTCTCCAAGCACAACTCTCCAAACTGTTTGGAGAGTTTGTCCAAACTCTTAGGAGAGTTATTATATATATATTTTTTATCCTTCATACTATACTATACTATATCCCTGTTGATATTATTGAAAATAAATAATATTTATTGAGAATGTACAACTAAAGTTTTAAATTAGTTGACAATTATATTAGAAATACATGCAATCTGTGTCTTTTATGGAGAAAATTGAATCTCTAGTCTATTTAAAAGGAGAATCCAAAATGTGGGACATTATCAGAGACTCGTTTGATACTTTTGAAGGTGTTGGGCTGCTTGATGTTGCTAATCTATCATTAGATGATTCGGAGTTGGAGAGTATTATTTTTAATGATACTGAAGAAGCTATTGTTATTGACGTTGAAGAAAATGAAGTTGGGACAACTAAGGATTAAAATAAAATGATATCATGCTTCTATTTTAATTTTTTTTATACAATGAAATTATGCTCAATTTTTATAATTTATATATCTATGCAAATATTCGTATATCCAAATTGTTTTTAAAAAGTTGTATTGGTGTACCAGTATTGTATCGTATCGTATTCAAATTACTTATCCAAAATTGTACATCTTAGCTAATAATATTCAACAACAACTAGTCTATTAAAAAGATTTACTTCTCGTAATTCCATTTAAAGTTGTGTGAAGGAAAGGCTGATTGATATGCGAAAGGCACATGACATATCAAATACGGTAGGACACGTGGTGAAGAAAAGTTGTATTGGTTGTAAACTCTTTTAGAACTCATTAGGAAAGGCTGATTGATATGCGAAATGCACATGACATATCAAATACGGTAGGACACGTGGCGAAGAAGAGTTGTATTGGTTGTAAACTCTTTTAGAAGTTAGAACTCATTATTTTATATATATATATATATGTATTTTTTTTTTTTTAATAACAATTGTTATTATCATTTACTTATTGAAAATAAATAATATTTATTGAGAATGTACAACTAAAATTTTAAATTAATTGACAATTTTATTAGAAATACATGCAATCTGTGTCTTTTATGGAAAAAATTGAATATTTAAAAGAAGAATCCAAAATGTGGGACATTATCAGAGACTTGTTTGATACTCTTAAAGGTGTTGGGCTGTTTGAGGTTGCTAATCTATCATTAGATGATGCGGAGTTGGATAGTATTATTTTTAATGATACTGAAGAAGCTATTGTTATTGACGTTGAAGAAAATGAAGTTGGGACAACTAAGGATCAAGATAAAATGCTTTAGCATTTTATTTTATTTTTATTATCGTGCTTCTGTTTTAATTTTTTTTTATATAATCAAATTGTGCTCAATTTTTATAATTTATATATCTACACGTATCCGTATATCCATTTGTTTAAAAAAAAGATGTATTGGTGTGCCAGTATTGTATCGTATTTGAATTACTTATCCAAATTTGTACATTTTAGCTAATAATATTCAGCAACTAGTGTATTAAGAATATTTACTTCTCGTAATTCCATTTAAAGCTGTGTAAAAGAAAGGCTGATTGATCTGCGAAAGGCACATGACATTTCAAGTGTGTACTGCAAGTGATGGACATTTATCTTCCATTGTACCTGCAATGTGGCTAGCACCGTCAGCTGTGCCATAAATATATCTGTTCTTTTATATAATGTACCATTTTTTTTTGCTTTATAGCTGAAACTGAATTATGACTCTCATGAACTAATCTGTACCGCTGATCTACTATGATATGGGTGAATTTCAATCTTGGCTTAGTCTTATACTCTCAATTAATGATTATATGAGATGTTATTTTATGAAAGAAAGGGAAATAACTAAACAAGATTGAGGTAAAATTAGTGTACTGCTTTAGTTTGGCAGGTTATGTAATCTTTCTGTTCATGAAAATAATCTGATAGTACAGTACTGGTTTATCAGACACGGGTACAAGCGTCAACTCTTACCTTTCCAGAAATTTTGTCGAAGCTTCCTCAACTTGGAGTCCGTGGGTTATACAGTGGGTCTATTCCAGCTATTCTAGGTCAATTTTCGAGGTATTTTACTTGCATTTACCACTTTATTTTTCTTACTACATCCTCTTCTAGACAATAATTTAGTATAACATGGCAGTCATGGTTTGCGAACTGGAATTTTTGAAGCAAGCAGACTTGTTTTAATTAATGTTGCACCAACAATTCCAGACATACAGGTGAGGGTTATGATGGTACAATTCTGGTTAGCATCTTTTTTTTTTTCCTTTTCTTGTCCTCCGATTTATCTTTCTATCCATTGTATAATGGTGATACTGCTACGATCATGTTTTTATGAAAAATATTTTGGATTCTTAGTGATGGTAATTTGCAGTATAAATTGCATCTGTCATAGCTATGTCTCATCTATTCAAGGATACTATGCTTGATAATATTCTGAGCTCATTTTCTTTTCTTGAAACTCCTGTTGCAATAACTAAAATTTTAGCTTTTATTGAACTGTTATCACGAGCTATGTTTATTGAAGTGGCCGTTTAAGCTTGCACTATTGCTTAATGCGACGATTCTGTCTAGGTTCAATCTGTAGCATCGTTTTGTAGCACTGTTCTGGGGACAGCAGTGCGGATACCCTGTGAAGTGCTAAAGCAAAGGTTGCAGGCTGGTCTATTTGACAACGTGGGGGAAGCTATAATTGGAACTTGGCAGCAAGATGGTCTTAGGGGATTTTTCCGTGGGACTGGTGCCACTCTGTTCCGGGAGGTTCCTTTTTATGTTGCAGGAATGGGCCTTTATGCTGAATCAAAGAAGGTAAGTTTAATCCTAATTTCAAATTAGATATTTTTCTGACCCAGTACTTGGTTTCTGATCTTTGTTAGGTAATTTGCTCTCTTAGGTCTTGGTATGCCACATTTATGGTTATCTTAAAATTCTTCATTTTTTTGTCTTTCGATATAACTGGAGAATTTAAAAAGAAAAAGGAAAAAAAAGGTCTTGTAAGCTCATCAGAGATGCTGCTTCGAGTGAGCAGTTTGGCTGGGTGCAGAAGTGCTACTTTACTCAGTAGCTTCTTATTTTGGTGCCAGGTTCTCAAGTGAATAAAGGTACATGGGAGTAATAGATAAACTGGACAGGATTTTCTGTAATATACAGTGTTTATTAGGATCCGTCCACCCGTTCATATAATTGTTGGCACTCACCAACAAAGGAGATCTCTAGAAGTTATGACTTACAGAAAATGGGAAACAATGTTCTAGAATCTAGTGATAGAAGAAAAATCGGCAGTAATCATTGTTCATTTTAGCCAAACCGATTTATTGTTTGAAGACTGCATAATAAGTGATTCGCCTGTTAATTATGGGGTAATCACTTGGTAAGAATCTGTTTGGTTCCTTGTATCAAACAATTATTAGTTATTTCTGTTCTTGTGAACTTGATAAATTTACTTTTTCCTTTAACATGACTATGATTGTTAACACGATCAATTGTTCATTTGAAGTGGTTTTGATGTGATCTGATAAAGAGTAAGCAGCTAATTTGTAGAATGCATACTGGCAAGAAATCTCGTCAATAGAAGGCAAGTCACTGAATCAAACATTTGGATCAGTCCAGAGACTTAAGTGCAAGTCACTGCTTATTTCTGAATTTGAATATTTTTAAGATAAGGAAATTACTTGAACTTTGGTTGGCTTTCCAAATTCCCAAGGGTAGACGGATTGAATACCATGGAACTCACATGAAGGGGTTGATGTTAAAGGTTTAAGATAACTGACATGCACGCACACACATTGCCAAATAGTATCTTTTAACCATTACAAGGTAATTAGCCATGTTCGGTGGTATGTCTAGCGAGTTCTCTGTATTTCAAAGAATTGGTAGGCTCGTGAAATTGTTTATTGTATTGATCTCAGGCTGCCCAGCAACTTTTAGGACGGGAATTAGAAGCATGGGAAACAATTGCAGTTGGGGCTTTATCTGGTGGGCTAACAGCTGTCTTGACAACACCATTTGATGTGATAAAGACGAGAATGATGACTGCTCCTAAGGGACGGCCTGTGACATTGTCATTCGTAGCATTATCTATTCTGCGTCGTGAAGGGCTCCTTGGATTATTTAAAGGAGCTGTTCCTCGGTTCTTCTGGATTGCTCCATTAGGTGCCATGAATTTTGCTGGTTATGAGCTCGCAAAGAAGGCCATGGACAAAAATGAGGAAACTGTTGAGCCACTTGTGCCGAAATAATTGACTAATTTTGGAAGATTAAGCCTCACTTGTTTTGAACCTTTGTTGCGTAATTATAGCATGCGAAAGCTGCTGGAAATTTTGGACTTGTTTCCTGAATATAGCTGTGCATGCTCATTTCCATTTGTCGAAATTTCTGCTTTTTGGTTGTTACCTCAGGTGTTGAACTTAGATTTGACGATATTGATCATTTTTCTTGGTTTTGTTTTGCAATTTGGTCTGTACTTATATGTGCAGATGACGACTCTCGTTTCATTCTTGATATCAATATTTTTACTTGAGAAAAAATGAAAATTAGTGCAAGTACATTTCTTGCTGAGGGATTGTATGAATAATCATTTTGATAAAACACAAGTTTCGTTGCACTGTCTATCTACAACCGGTGTCACCCGCAACTCTCCTTCACCGCACAACCAGAGGCGTAACTAGCCAAAGCGTTGGCTGTCCTGGATATCTTCACCACACTGGTTTTGCGAAACAGGAAAGTAAAATGGCACAAACAATGAGAGGCAACTATGCTTCCATTTTTGTGTTTGGCTTCTAATGAACAAGAAAATTGCTCCAATCATGGTGGTGATTCAAAACTCAAATGACTGCAGAAATTGAAGCTTTTCTAAATACTGTACAAAGTATACACAAAAAACTGAACTGTAAGTACCTTTAAAATCGACTTGTAAGTTGAAGGTGTTCACTTGGTTAAGGACTCGCGAATTAAGCTAGTCTAGCAATGTGGGTCGTCCCATGTGGTTAGTCTTTTTAATGGTGAAATGAAAAGAATATGACGATTTTAGCACAAAAACTTTGATTTGAGGACGTTTGTGCCAAGAATGAAAGAATAGGTCCTGGTTTCGCACAAGGACTTTCATTTGAGGACAATTTGTGCAAATTAGTAATAGATAAGTCGTGTTTCAGGTCTACATCAGCTTTACGTGCACGTTAATGTAAACTAAATCCACGAAAAATGCAAATTTATCTGTTGCGTCTATTTTTGAAACTCGTGGAATGCATTTAACATTAAAAAAAAACTTGTACATGTAATTTTTCCTCCCTATAATAAAATATCTAATTTTTTTCTTTAAAGATTGATGAAAATATGTAATAATTTATTAATTGATTTTTTGATTAATATGACATTATCTTTGGAAATGTTTAATATATGGAATTAATCCATGAGCATATTGAAAAAAATTAATAAATAAGGTTAACAATGATAATAAATGTTTAAATATATATTTAAAAAACTTATACATTTTGATAATAATAAGAAGCAGATACATTTAATCCTTCTAACTACTTCGAAATAACTGATATTGATACCATTTGAGAAATATTATTCATTGATATGGGTATTATTTTTAATAAATATAGATTTTGTCCTAAAAGTTGATCAAATTATTCAAATCTCTCTATTTATAATAGCATAAGAATTGAATTAAAAATTATATATTGTTTAAAATTTAATAAAATTATTCAATGTATAAAGAGTGGAATGTTGAAGGAGTTCAAGTTCGAATTCAACACCGACTCATATTAAAGCATACGACTTCGGTCATTTCAAACTTTACACATAACATATTACTATATTAGTGTGAACAATCTAAAATACATTAAGAGCATATTTTTATAACTTCATTATTATCGCATCAGACACAACATGTTTAATATGAAAAAAATCTCAATTAAAAGAACCAAATCGCTACTCATATTCTATTCTAGATTAAGAGAGAATATGCATATCAAAATTGTCATGAAACATGCTAAGAAGGAAGACTTTTACACCCAAAATTTCGTTTGTTACTTTAAGATCACAAGTCCGTATTTTTCCAAATATAAGCTCGATACATTGAACTGAAAAAGGCTTGATATTTACTTCAAACTTTTATTAACACGTTTACATGTCCAAGGGGCTAAATCACAATGTAAAACAAAAAAAACCAGTTCCATACACACATCAAATAATAGAAGAAGGTGAGTATTAGTTTATAGACCCAAATCCCATTGAATTTTTAGGGTCAAGTCTCTATTAATTTTATTCTTAGTTTCGGTGTTTATGCCAAAAGTCAACCAAATTACTAATTCTTGACATAAAGAAATATTATAGAAATATGTTTGTAAGGATTACAGAAGAAAGATGAGAGAAAATAATCTAATTTTTTTTTTTTCACTTTTTTAAAGAAATAAGGTATTTTTACGGGCACCACATAAAAAAACTTACTCAACCTTCCACAAATATACCGAAAGAAAAATATTAAGAACTGTATATAGTGACAGTAATGAAATATTAATATATATATTTTTTTCAATTGTGTTTATGCTATAAAAAATATAGTAATTAGAATCATAAGATCATAAGAGCTAAGACATATTATTTTAGATTGGTCAGAACCAATAGATTTAGTAAATAACTAGAATTTGGGTGATAGCTAATTCCATGGACAATTTGAAGAATTAAAACATTTTAATAGCTAGAGGAAAAGAAATCAGCAAGAGAAATATATATCTATATTATTGAAAACTTATAATTTCAATAATAATATTTAAATCTTATACATTTCGATAATAAGAAGAAGAAGATGGATTTAATCCTTCTACATCAAAATACCTGATATTGATATTATTTGAAAAAAAATAAATTTATTTATATCAGTGGGGTATTATTTTTAATAATTATCGAATTTCTCTTAAAAGTTGATCATATAATTCAAACTTCTATTTATAATGGAAACAAGAATTGAATTGAAATTCTATATTGTTTAAAATTGGGAAAATAGCAGCAATGGTCCCCAATCTTTTCACTTTTTGGAGACTTTATCCCAACCTTCAATTTGTGTCAGTGAAAGTCCCTAACATTTCAAAAATATGCATCTGGAGTCCAAATAGATGGATTACATCAAATTTTCGGTTAGTTTACAAGAATAATATTTTAACCATATTTTAACTATTCTTAAAGGGGCAAAAAGGTAACTCTACATTTTCCTATTATAAACAATTAAAATATTAAAAGAAACATAGAGGATGTTTTGCACCCACCAAAATCATTCACAATCCATCCCAATATCAAAGCTCGATTCTGACGAGGCACTATTCATAATAATCAGAAAAAATCGAGAAAGGATGTGATTCGTAACCGGGTGAGATACTGCAGAATCAGCTGGCAAATCCAACCAATTATTTGTAAAGTGAAGGAAAAATAGGTAATGGTCAGCAATTACAAGTCGTATGGTGGGTAAGTGTTTTTTGGGTTTTGGGGGGTGGGTAAGATGTGGAAGAAGATTATTTTATATTTATATTTTTATTTTTGTTTCTTTTCTTTTCTTTTCTTATTGTTTTTAGTTTAATTTGATTTTTAAAAGGTTAATATGTGATTGATATAAATGCCCTTACCAAATGTGGTCATATTCAAATTTTTTGGTCAACTAACGGTCAATTGGATGTTTTCCATCCATGTGCACTCCAAATGCATATTTTTTGAAAGGGTATGGACATTTGCTAGCACAAATTGAAAGTTTAGGATAAAATCTGTAAAAAATTAAAAATGTTAGATACTGTTGTTGCAATTTCCCTTTAAAATTTAATAAAAATATTCAACGTACGTTGAAGACGATTTTAGGAGTTTAACTGTTTAAGTTCGAATTTAACACATTAATTTTGAAGCATACGACTTAGGTCCGTTCACACTTTACAATGTAACATAAATAATCTATCTATATTATTTTTGTGCCTTCATAGTTATCACATAAAATACGATATTCAAAATTATTCGAAAAAAACCCAATAAAAAGAATCAAATCCCAAATCATATTCTATTCTAAATGTCTATCAAAATCAAAATCATCATAAATCTTTCTTATTTGTCCAAATGTATACGTTGAATTGAAAAGAATGCACATGTAACATGTCACTATGTTAGTACAAATAATCTATGTTAGTACAGTGAGAACATATTTTTGTGCCTTCCTAATTTACGCTTCAAACACGTTATTACCGGACTATTTTGAAAATTCACATTTAAAAGAACCAAATAGACTAAGAGAGAAATGCCAATCAACATTGCCGTGAAACATGCTAAGAGGGAAGACTTCTACACCCAAAATTTCGTTTGTAAATTTAAGATCCTTTTCTATTTTTCTAAACGTACGTCCGGTACATCCAACTAAAAAGGGAATACATCACAATGTGAAACAAATTAAATTGTAGAAAAAGGCGAGGTTCGAGAAGTGGGTATTAGACCCAAATCCCATTGAGGTCAAGCCTCTCTATTTTTTTCTTCTTTGTTTCCGCGTTTGTGTCAGAAGTCAACCAAATTACCAATTATTGACTTTATACGTAAAGAAATATTATAAAAACATGCTTGTTACACGAGTAGTATATGATTATCGAAGAAAGAGGAGGGAAATAATCTTACATTTTTTCACAATTGTTATATATATATATAAGCAGGAGACAACTTGCAAACTAAAATATTTTAATAGTCGAAGGAAAAGAATCAACGATCGAAATGGGATCAGCAATAACTGTGAAAACTTAATTGTGTGGGAGATTAATACAAGTGTCGTTGTGTTAGGCAAAACAATCAATTTCAATAAGCCACTATTTGGTTTCACTTAAAAAAAAAAAAGATTAAAATTCAATTCAAAGTCACTTAACCCCTATTTGATTCCCATTTTTGGGTCGAAATGTGTTTTAGAATATTGGTTCTTTAAAAAATGTGTGGCCAAAAATAAGAAAAATATTGAATCTACACGTAAAATTATTTTATGGGAGACTGTGTACATAGTCCAAAGAGGGGCTTAATTTTAACCATTTTACGAGACACGCCAAAATCTATAAAAAGTTAATTTTAATCTAAATCAAATAGGAGCTAAGTATTGTATATGAAACATAAGTACTTAATAGAGTTAGAATGCATTTCATGATCATTCGGCCGTAATTGAAGAGTCAAAACAACCCAGAATGCAAGACGATATGCGTCCTTTGTTGGTTGGGTCATGAATTGTAGGTCACAAGTAAGAAGGAAATATGAAGTCGACACAAAAAGACTGCTGCCTCAGTAAACGTGGAAACAAAGCCGCAAAATAACGACAAAAGCTTTAGGTTTTAGTTGATGGAATCGTGGGAATGTCATAATTATATGCAATTTGAAAAGGCAAAGTCATGCGCAATTGTTTCTTCTTTTCACTTTCTAAGTGTCCGCCTCTTTGTTCCCATTGACACTACTATCTCAAGATGATATTTTGCCGATGTTGGGCCCTAATTTTTTCAAAACTTATTTTTAACTTCACATTCTTTCATAAAATGATTTTATACGCAAATTTAAAACTTTTTTTTAATAACACATTCTCCAACAAAATGCTATTTCAAAATACATTTTTGCCCAAAAATAGGGCTCAAACAGGTACTTTATAGTTACTAAAGTGGAATAGTTCATATATTTAACCCCAGTTTGGTTTAAATAAATTAAAACCAGTTTCATAGATTTTGGTAAAAGTGAATTAAATGTGTGATTAAAAAGTTGTGGGTTTTATGAAATGTGTAGTTGAAAATAAGTTTAAGGAAAATAAGTTTTAGAAAATGGAGATCAAGTAGGGCCATAGACTGATGAAAATTATACGTAATTACTTACCTAAGCCCGTGCTTGGTGACCATTTTTTTTTTGGAAAAACATTGTTTTGAATATTGAAATTTTGGAGACCGAATGGTTAAAAAGTAGGAAAATGTTTGGAATTTACATATAAGTTACTTTATTTTGTGTGTGGTTGAAAATAAATATGTAGAAAAAAGAGTTTTGAAATAATGGAAAACAAACATGAACTAACGTTGTTGGTGAGCAGGGGGAGCCAAATGGGCGTTAAAATACTTTTAGGGGATAAATTATGGATTCTTCAACCATACTATATGTACATCATATGTTATATTAAAGTTTACACGCTTTTCATGCATCTAGATTTACACCATTTATTTTATGGCTTGTTTGAGCCCTCATACTTTTCAGAAAATACATTTTACAAGAATGAAAAATGTGTGGTTAAAAAATAAGGAAAAATAAGGAAAACAATGTACATATAACTTTATTCTATTTTCTTTTCAGCTGTATAGATTGGGAGCACTTAAATAATAGTGGTCGAATGCCATAAAAATATATTTGAGGAGGTGATTGGTAAATATATATAAGCAAATAATTAATTACCTATACATTTGGAAGCTTCAAATAATATTCCATATTCAGATTTTCACATTAAACTTTCTTCCAAGATTAGAGTAATGAATATTAAATTGGAATCATAACAATGTTTACTGCGTGTATGTAGATGACAATGACTTTGTATCGAAAATGGATGACAATCTCTCACATGCGACGGGCCCTGAGTGATTAAAAAACTCCAAAAAAAAAAAAAAAAAAGTGGGGCCTCCACTGTGAATGTCGATCAACTTGTATGTCAACCATTTTCGGTACGAATAGCACGGGTCATCCAAAAGACATTGTGATGGACAACTAATTAGTGTAAAAACAATGCCTGGTTGTGGAAAAAAACACGGTTTTGTATTATTTAGGTGCATGCGCTCTTTGACAATAAGATTTTCTTTATAGAAAATGGTTGAATCGCAAGGCCAAATTATTATTCAGTAAACTTTACGAGTGTCAATATGTTATATGCATATTTGTTTTATTATTATTATTTGAAAAAAAAAATAATGAAATTAAATCTTTTAAAACGACAGTACACTTTCACTTGTTGAGATTATTATTAATTATTATTATTTTAAATGAAATCATCAACGGAGTTTTTGTGAGGAATACAAAATGCTATGAATCAGATAGCATTCTTTTGCCGACAGAGATTCTTCTCAGACATTCTTATTTATTTAATAACAAACTCAAACTTGGCCCAGTGTTTTATGTCGATCAACTTGTATGTCAACCATTTTCGGTACGAATAGCACGGGTCATCCAAAAGACATTGTGATGGACAACTAATTAGTGTAAAAACAATGCCTGGTTGTGGAAAAAAACACGGTTTTGTATTATTTAGGTGCATGCGGTCTTTGACAATAAGATTTTCTTTATAGAAAGTTTGAATCGCAAGGCCAAATTATTCAGTAAACTTTACGAGTGTAAATATGTTATATGCATATTCGTTTTATTATTATTATTATTTGGAAAAAAAAATAATGAAATTAAATCTTTTAAAACGACAGTACACTTTCACTTGTTGAGATTATTATTAATTTAAATGAAATCATCAACGGAGTTTTTGTGAGGAATACAAAATGCTATGAATCAGATAGCATTCTTTTGCCGACAGAGATTCTTCTCAGACATTCTTATTTATTTAATAACAAACTCAAACTTGGCCCAGTGTTTTTAAGACAGTCATCGCCTTTCTTGTGATGAGTCTCAATAACACATGCAAACAAAATGCATGAAAAAACAAAATATGGTAGTAAAAAGTTGGCACAAAATTGAAAGGTTGTAATTGAGAATGAACATAATTCAACTTATATCTAAATTATCTACATAATAATGAAGTAAAAAAAAAAACCTAATAAATAATTAAATAAAGTAATTAGTCTAGACTCATGATGGAAATTCTGGAATTTAGAATCTGAGGAGAATTGCCAAGCCAAAACTAGTCAAGTTTTGGCTCTAACAAAGTCACAATATTGACTTGGAAAATCTACATTTTTTGTAGTCCAATTAAAAAATGTTCATTTATATATTTATTTATTTATTTATTTTTGAAATTTCACCCTTAACCATGCTTATATTACTTAGAAATTAAAAACAGATGGAATATATGTTGCATTCCTTTTGTAGTTATTTTTAAGTCAATAAATAAGGCATTTGTTAATACGATCCCCACGCAAGTGAATTTCAATAGAAATAAATAATTGTAAACTAAAAACAAAAAACGATCTGTCATTTTTACGTCCCGTTTGGTAGAAATTAAAATTTAATTCAAAGTCAACAACAAGTTTTAATCACACATTTTACGGGATCCACAACTTTTTATTCATACAATTCATCAACTTTTATTAAAATCTACTAAAAAATTGATTTTAATCCCTACCGAACTGGGCATTAATATCCGGTCTCGAGAGTAATTAGATAAGTTTTTAGTTATTATTTTAATTATTTGTAACAATAGAGTAATTAAAAGTAGATGGTATACAATATGAATTCCTATTCTCAAGAAAAATTTTATTCCTGCATTAAACAACATTTTCCATATATAATTAATTAATTAAGCTTCTCGTGTTTGGAAAATTGAGTATTATGCCTCTAAAATACATCTCACAGTGAAAGACTAATACCTAATGAGAATGACACTCAGATGAACGGGTCAAGTACAAGTTTGAAAAGGAAATTGATGGAAAAATTGAGTTGCAAATTGAACTTATTTTACTAATTTCACTTAATCCAAAAGTTTCCATCACAAGAAGTAGTTGCAGTCCTTTATGACCCGATGGTCGCTTTTCCTTTGGAAAAGTAACAATACAAGAAACGAGCTAACAATGACTAAATATCTTGAGGATAGAGATTTCTTTCGAGATCTAAATCCCTAACGTGATATTTTTTTAGGTAGGATCATCTAAAGATTAGAATTTATTTCGCTTGATCAAATATCGTTCATGTCCAGAGTGGTTCCCAAGCCACACCCAAAATGCTTTCATCAAAAAAGAATGGAGAATTCTCATTTGGCTGTTTTTGTGGGCAGTTTTCTTGATTCTGTGACATTTCTTGGTAGATAAATTTCAAATTGGCATTTTGGCATTGCATGTTTAAAATCTCAGCCTGTGCTTTGGCTAGATCTGCTTGAAGCTCATTGATTTGCTTCTGAAGTTGGCAAATTGCGCCGGCGCAGCCGTATACCGGATCCCTAAGCCTGGCGTTGGCTTCATAAACCATACTATTCACAGCATCTGCTCTTTGAGCTTCAGGAAGTTCCTGCAATCCAATGAGATTATTAACTATTAAATTGCTTACGATCTTTTTTAATATATATTATGGTAAAAATGAGTAACAACTTATTTTGAAGACTGAATTAAGATAGTTCCCATAAGAAATATCTTCTAGTTGTTAGCTTCTTTCTTAATGCTGGTGAGGAGAGTTGAATTTTGGTTGTGCACGGAAAACACGGGTCATTTTTTGTGCCTACTTCCATTGACTATTGGATATATCCCTTTCAGTTGTGGAAGTTAATACAAGTGTGATCAAGTACCACTTTGAATAAATAAAGGTGGCAAAATTCTGGTGAAAAAAAGAAAAATAATGAGGAATTATCAACTACTACCTCCTTTACTTTACGAGATAAAGAAAAAAAATTTAGTGGGATTAGATAGAAAGACATTGGTTTTCGGGTTTGGATCTAAACGGAATCTCAGAAAACTCGTTTCCTTTCTGACTCTGGATACAGACCTAGATGGTTTGTACATAGACTTTTTAGATGCTAAGATCCAAAGTCAAGAAGAAAATAACTCAAATTGTTCGTTAAGGTCTCTAAGCAATCACTTAGTAGAAAAAGAAGTGATTCGAGCACAGATGATCCAAATTTAAGCGAAGTTTCTTCATTGACGGTGTAGTGATGATGGTCTCAGACTCGTCTTTCGTTACTCTCATCACATATTCCATACTCGTTCACTCGATATACTCTTTCACTTGCTACTGAACGGATGTGGTTATTGACAAGAACTTATTTTAAAAATACCTGCAACAACTTCATTATGTTGCTGGCGCCGAAAACCCTGTGAGCAATGGTGAATTTGAGGGGATCCGACGGTGGAAAATAAGGTGCCAGCACACATTTATCGATGCATCTCCGGCGGAGAATTTTGCATGCAGCGCAAGGACTAACTATAATAGCTGGTGGCGGAGAGGATGAAAAGGATCCAGTTGGAGAGGATATAGGAGAGAGTGAGGAGGGAGATGATGTTGCCACCATTGCTGCTGCTGCGGCGGCGGTTTCTCTGTGTTCCATGTTGACACTCTGTGTGTTTGTGTGTGTGTTGGTTTGGTTGTACTTTACGAGATGTAGCATAGGAGCAATTTATAGGGAAATGGAAGAAAAGCCCGTCAAGGGGTTTACAGCTAGTGAACTGTGAGTTATATTATGACGTCAAAATTGCGTCATTAATGGCAGGGTGATTTCATATTGTACAAAATAACATGATTGGTAATCTCATATTTTATATTAAATGCTTGTTTATTTGATATTATTGACTAATAATAGCATTAAATTATCATAAATCTCATATTTATGCCAGTTGAAATGTAGACCATTTATGACCCATTTGGCATAACTTTTGAATAGTAGAAAAGAATTTTTCAGATACAAAAATTGCTTTTGAATCAGTTGACTAATTTTATCAAATTACTGCCGTTAGGTAGAATAATTTTTAGAGGAAGTCAGTTCAATGTAATTTCTTCTAAAAGTATTTTCGAAATATGAATTTCTTTTAAAAATTAGTTTTTAAAACATTTTTATGTTTTTCCTCCTACAACTAACTTTGGTTTATATGATGACGAATCTAATCATTTTTTTTTTCAACTCTTAACTTTTCTCTTAACCCAAGTTAATAAATTATATGTATTTTCTCGTTAATAATGAAGAATACATTAAAGGTGGCTCTCAATCAATTTATATATTTTTTTATTTGTAGTTAGGAATATTTTATAAGAGGAAAGCATTTATTATAAAATATTGATATGAAATTCAACTCCTATGCCTTAATAGATGACTTTAAGATAGTTCACACTTCAAATTGAATGCTTCTTCCGTGTGGACTGATAACTAAATATAGTGCTTGTTTGGTATAAATTTTTGGGGGAAGAATTGATTTTGAATGGTGATATGATGAGAAGTGTGTGATTGAAAAAGAAGAAAAAATTATTGATGTGATGAAAAATATTATTTTATTGAAGAATGTGTGGTTAAAAATAAGAATTAATTTACTGTAGAAATGACGAATCTAATCATTTTTTTTTTTCAACTCTTAACTTTTCTCTTAACCCAAGTTAATAAATTATATGTATTTTCTCGTTAATAATGAAGAATACATTAAAAGTGGCTCTCAATCAATTTATATATATATATTTTTGTAGTTAGGAATATTTTATGAGAGGAAAGCATTTATTATAAAATATTGATATGAAATTCAACTCCTATGCCTTAATAGATGACTTTAAGATAGTTCACACTTCAAATTGAATGCTTCTTCCGTGTGGACTCATAACTAAATATAGTGCTTGTTTAGTATGAATTTTTGGGGGAATAATTGATTTTTGAATAGTGATATGATGAGAAATGTGTGGTTAAAAAAGAAGAAAAAAGTATTGATATGATGGAAAATATTATTTTATTAAAAAATATGTGGTTGAAATGAGAATTGATTTACTGAAGCTCAGTCAAATCTCCAAATTTTCACTTTGAATTCTCAACAACCACATGAGTGTGTTTGTTTGGGATTTTTAAGGGAAAAATTGATTTTTGAATAGTGATATGATGGGAAATGTGTGGTTGAAAAAAAAAGAAAAAAGTATTGATGTGATGGAAAATATTATTTTATTGAAGAATGTGTGGTTGAAAATGAGGATTGATTTACTGTAGAAAATGAGAATCCCTCCCAAACAGGGCCATGAACTAAGGTTAGATTTGGGTCGTAACTAAAAATATTGGAGTTAATTCAATTTGATCCGGTCGAGTAGAACATCAAGATGGACAAATTATATACTCGACATTTAACAATTAATTCAATTTTACGACTTTTTTTCCTAGAGGTGGACAAAATGTTCAAACCAACCCAAATCAAATTAGAACCAAATCAAACCGAGATGTTCGATTCGGTTCTAACAAAAAAATTTATAGTTTTAGTTCTTTAAACCAAGAATCATTTGGTTATGCTTTTGGTTCGATTCTTGTTCTAGAAGTGAGAACCAAACACAAAACCAAGCTTAATATTTAATTTTATTTTTTATATATATTAATTAGTGAAGACCTTAATTTTGTATTCATTGGAGAAAGTCCATTAATTACTGCCCATTAATTGGTTATGGGTCATTAGAGACAACTCATTAATTATATATACCCTAATTTTGTGTTCATTTGAATCATATTTCCTTCACTCTTTTTCAATTTATACAACTCCGAGGCACGCTGACATCACATTTTATCACGTCGAAGGAGGAAACTCTTTCAAGATCTGAAAATGAAATTGGTCAGCCACTGAAAAAGCCTTTAAACTATTTTGTTTATCTTAATTGTTTGATAAATTATTTGTATTCTTCACAAATGAGGGAAAATCTAATAAACATTCATGGAGTATTAAATTGCTAATGGTTGTCTGTAAAAGTGGACTGTAAAAGTTATGTATAATTCATCCTTTATTGTGGATGTGTGCCGTCAAAACTACTGTAATTAATTTAATGAATCATCGTCATTATTTATTAAACAATCTTTTGTATGGGAATGAAAACTGAGTTGTGTATTCAAATTATGACTGTATTTCGTTTGGTAGTTTTGACTTTTGTGATCTTGATGATTTATAATTTGAACTTGCTGAATGATTGATATTTATTTATTTTTTACTTATGTATATATTATGGATACAGTGGAAGTCTGAAAAGAATAAAATGAATAAATTCCACTATCAATAAATTAGAAGTGGACGATGTGAATTTCTTTATAAATTTCACTGACGTAGTACTATAATAATGAAAACTCAAAGCGACTCTATATCCTTTCATTTTTAGATATTCCTCATTTTAGAATTTGGGCACATTGCAATAATTTTGATGCTAGTTATGAAATACCCCACTACAGTTTTTGAGGCATCACCGTCACCTCTAAAATTTTGATGTCTTTTAGTGAGAAATTAAAATTCTAATTGGAGAACAATTAAGGCGACAAATCGATTTAGTCTCATACCCTAAACTAAGAATGTCCCCGTGAAATGTGCATAAAGATTCATTTTATAAAATCTAACAAAGTTTTATCTTATCAATTTAGAATATCTCCAAAAGATTCTTTAAACCTAAGATCGAATCCTTAAAATTATGCTTCAAAATACCCTTTTAATTAATATTTTAATTTAGGGATCTCTACTCTCTGTAATTAAATGCATTCAAAATATTTCAATTTTTAATGGAGGAAAATAATATAATAATTTGGATGGAAACTAGTAAAAATAAAATATACGAAAAAAGAATAAATATTTTTTGAAAAGTAAAATTAAGTATTAAATATAAAACGCATGTTGGAGTAATTAAAAGATTTCTCTCTAAATTTTAGAATATGAAATTTAAAAATAGAGAGTTCAATGTGTTCATCTCCAAATTCAAAACTTGAATGTAAATAAAACTGCATAACTAATTTAAAAATATACTTATACACTATTTGATGGAACTTAAAATTAATTTTTTAATCCAAATTATATCTAACAACACATTTTATGGAACTCACTTCTTTTCAAATACACACTTCTTCAACTTTTATAAAAATCTACTAAAAATTTGATTTTAATCTCCACCAAACAAGGGCTTAAGTAATTTTCTTTATCTTATTTAAAAGGGTGTTTGGTGTAGATTAAAACCAGATTTTAAACGGATTGTAATAGAAGTTTTTGAAATGTGTGGTTGAAAAGACGTGGGACTCATGAGAGATGTGATTGATACTAATTGTTTGACTTTGATTTAAATTAAAATCGAATTAAAGTCCGGCCCAAACAGGAAATGATAATTTAAATACATCATCAATAAATGATTAACCAATTTGCAGGTCCACGCTGCATGCTTTGAATGCTAAATTCTATACTGATCATTCTACCTTGAAAGAATATCAAACACGTAGGCAAAATTTGCCGTCCTTTGTAGCCGACTTTTAACCGATGAAAACAGACAGATGCTGCCTCGCTTGAGACAGCGTAGAATTCCAACTACTAATAGGGTATGTGGCAAGCCATCGTTAGGTAGTTCAGTACCGCTGAGGCTCGTGTGCAACGGGAATGAGACCTGCTTTTGACATTTATTTCACTGCTGATATATATTATATATATTAATTATTATAAAACTATGTAGGTTAGTCATTGTTTGGTGGAAATTAAAAATTTTGAATTTACGCTTAAAATATTGTATTGTATGAATATGAGGTTGAAAATGAGCACGTAGAAAAAAATATTTGAAAATAATGATTGTCAAACAAGGATTTAGTGACTTATAAAATTTAATTTTTACGTATAATTGGATCGGATTTCAAACTAATTCTAGATTTTTTTAGTCAAATTGATCAACTTTGCTACATGTACATTATAGAAGACATTAAATTTGACATTATTTGATGTAAATCATGGCCGTTGCTTTTAAACACGCTCCTTCAGATCACTAGTTAGATTTCTTACACATAAGGAATGTCATATGCAATGTACAAAAATAATGTATAAGTAGATTAATTCCAAATTGATCGGTTGGAGCCAATTCTGATAGCATTGTTAAGCACGTGTCATATAAGAACTAGCCCATTTTGATCTTGGACATGGTAAATTGGAAACATGAAGCGTAGTGAATGATATCGCACATCTTTTTCCTTTTTCATTTTCCTTTATTCTTTTTACATAAGAAGAGGGAGATGCAAGTTATTAAACAGAGCATCCATATGAAATTGCTTAAGAATTATTCTAGTTATATAATCAAGTTTTACAAATTGGTTGACAACTAGTGAGGTATCAGGATCCACACCTTTTATTAAAAAAGCAGTTTCTTAAATATATGGTGTGGATCTCTGCCAACTCATTGATTGTAAATCAAGTTGTAAACTAGATATACACCTAACATGCTTCATTGCTTAATAGGGGAACCATAATAGTTGAAGAAGTACGAAACATGGAGCATGACAAAATAGTCGTGCAGTAAACTAAATACTATTTTTCAATAAATATGTTACAATATTAGAGCATGTCCAAAAGATTCTCTAAATACAAAATACTC